CAGCTTCCACCCATCCAGTTCCGGTCAGCTGCAGAGGTGCAGAGACAAAGGATGACCTTGGCTTTCTGGAAAGAATGTTGTTATGGCTACATGGCATCTAACTCCGCACAATCCCCCCTCCCATTTTCCCACCATAGAAAATGCATAGTGGAATAATAGAAAGTGTGGCAGGCCAAAGATATAAAAGAAAAGATGGCTGCAGGCCTGACACTCTACATATTTCTTACTACATATTTCTTACAGGAGAAGAAGATACTTTGAGTGTGCTGTGGAAATCCCTGAGCTATTTTGTTGACTCAGCTCTATCCTTTCTCTTCAAAGAAGTCTTAGTCCTGTTCTGACAACACCTGATTTCTGAGAATCAGGAAATGCATGGAAAGGCACTGTGACATAAAAACATTGGAAGGGAAGAAGACTTCTTTTAAGGAAGGACCCCTATGCAGACTGAGGCATATGAATGTAATTTCTGATTTGGTCACTTCATCCAACTAAACTCACAGGCTGCGCTGGGACCGAGGGGACTTGGCTGCTGTTTCTCCAACTCTAAAACATGTTCTGAGTTTCTGTCTTTAAAAATATTTGCGAAGAGAAATGTCTGTTTCCCTGAATGGAATGCAATCCATTTTTATTTTTTTTTGCAGTTTCTGGGAGTTTCTTCTGAGAGCTGCTTGAGAGAACCCGCTCCAAAATAGGATAATAGTATTCTTGGAAAATGAACAACTGACCAACTCAGGAGAAAAACTGAACCTGGATGAAGTCATCGCCCAAATTCAGGAATGAGGATGAGGAAAATGAAGGCGAGATACATCTTATGGGAAAACATGGCGGCGGCATTATTCAAGAAGGAGAAGGAAGAGGAAGAGCATTCGCTGGCTGGGGAATTCTGGGAGTTGAAGTCCGAACATCTTCAAGTTGCCAAAGTTGAGAAACACTGGTCTAGAAGATGCCATGGACCAGGAGGAGGCCACAGGGATCATCTTAAAAAAACAAAACAACTGGAAATGTGTCAAGACTCATTGGCTGCATTTAGGGGAAGCCAAAAGGTCAAATCCAATTAAACGCAGCTCTATCTTTCAACTGTAATCAAGCCGCTCAAAAAGCTAACCGGAGGATTTATTAATTGAACTTCTTTATCCGTAGGATGCAATATTATTTCTCCTGCAAAGTTTCTCGAAAGGGGGGGGAGAAAGCCTCTTAATCTCAAATCAGCCGCCTTGCTTCGTTACATAATTCAAGGGAAGAGCTTAAGAAATTCAAAAGGAGGATTAAAGTGTGGGTTTTTTTTTTAATGGAGAATGCGAGGAGTCACAGTAAGGGCTGGGCACAGCCAAAGTGGGACTTAGCATACAAATTACGAGTCGCTGGCACATCCGTGATGCCCTCGTAAAGTGCCTTCTAACCGCTTGCCAAATTGCAGAATCAGAGAAAATGATTTATTATTATTATTCCTACAGGGTAGTATATTTTTTTAACTGCTCCCGACAGGAGTTATAATCAAGTTTTCAGGTACAGGAATTGGCAGGCAAAAACTTCGATAATATCGAGGTTGCTTCCAATATTTAGAATTCCTTCGAAGTTTTGAGAGCTATAAAGTTTCTCCCATGTCACAGTCTTTCTGGACCATAAACGTCTTTTCCTTCTCCGCGGATCTCCACTGTTTCCAAATCTATTTCTTTGGACTCTAATCGGAGT